CTACCCAGTGGTTGTGCAGATTGGGAATTATTACTCCCACTCAAATAGTAGTGTTGTTGCATTTGGATTAGGAATACCTCGTTGGTATCTATTCTCGAGGAACTAATGCTTTCCAAAAATTTCGTATCTCTTTTGGTGCCCTTTTGAGAAGATTTCACTGGCTTTCATCCTGAAATTATTGGGGTTACATGGGTTTCCATGATCTCAGCCGACAATCGGTGTCACTATTGTCGATGGAACTCAACTGGGTGGTTGTATTTGCCAATCTGAATGCTGCTGATTAGGGAAAAAAAAAGAGAACCCAAATAGTTCGAATCTTTTAAAGTTCCTTACTATACTTTGCAAGGTTTGTTCATGATATATACTTATATACATACATTGAAGTTGTTTAAGTTATTTTTTTTGACTGATGCTGTTTTATTAATTTAATTATGTGTTAAAGTCTTGTTTCTCCCTGACAAGGACTTGAGATATTAAAATAAAATGGTTTTAGTTTTGTAAATTATTGGTGCTGTGATGTAATGTTAGTGTAAGCTTGTTTCTTTTTCTTTTATAATTATGGCATAGTAAGACTAGGTTGGCTTACGTCAGGTTTCTTCTATGTCTTCCAACCTCATTTGGATTCCAAAGGTTTCCCAGTTAATATACTAGAGTATGTTGGAAGCAACATTGAGGGGTCTGAGTGCCTTAATTTTGATTTAAGGCCTTTCTGAGTTTTGGTACTTTGGTTCCGCGGATCGATTGATTCATCATCATCATCATGCCTTTGTACGAGTTATACCGTCTGGCCAGAGAAAAGCTTGGTACAGAGAATAACAGCACACGTGCATCTGATCAATGTTCCTCGTAAGTTCATCAGTATAGGCTGTTGCAAGTTTTTATTTATGTGTTTGAATTTTAATTTTATTCTTTTGTTTTTTTTTTCTTAACCCTGTTTTTTGGTTTGAAATTGGATGTGTAGACCTGAGAATGATTTTTTTGAGCTAGTTTGGGAGAATGGTCAGATTTCTAGCCAGGGTCAGTCTAGTAAAGTTAGAAGGAGCCCATCTTGCAAGAGTTTGCCATCTCACTGCTTACCATCTCACAGTCCCAAGGGTAGAGACAAAGATGTAGGATATGGTGCCAACTGGATTGGAAAATTTAGAGATTTAGACTCTGGATTGAATGAAATTTCAATGTCGGTGCCGTCCCGTGAAGTTGATTTCTGTCAAGACGAAGATGTGTTACCTTGGTTTGATTACCCAACAATGGATAGTTCCTTGCAACATGACTATGATTCTGATTTCCTCCCTGCCCCAACTAGCTTTACTCTATCGGATAAAAAAAGTAATAGCAGGATGGCTTTGAGGGATTCTCATAAAACTTCTGAAGAACAAGGGAATGCTTTCAAGGATTCTTCAGCTGAGCAGGTTGGAACTGTCGAGCCCAAAGCTAGCACCAATCAGTTATACCCTCCATCATTGCATCATTGTCAAACATCTTTTGTATCTTCAAGATCCAGAACATCAGATATAACTGAAAATAACAATACTAGTAATGCAAACCAGGATGCCACCTATGGCGAAATTACCAATTTTCTATCTTCCTCAAGTGATTTTTCTAGCCCAAAGGGGAAGAAGCAAGAGCCACCTCTGCCTGGCAATGGTTCCAGTTCCACCATAATGAATTTCTCCCATTTTGCTAGGCCTGCGGCAAAGGTAAGAGCTAATCTTCAGAACATTGGCTTGAAGTCTGGTTTGTCTTCAGCAAGATCAGACAGTATGGAAATTAAGAATAAAGATGCAGCTGCAACTAGCAGCAATCCTCCTGAATCAATTGTTATTGATTCAAGTGGTGAATGTCCGAAGGAACTGACTATTCACTGTCAGCAGAATGTGGATCAATCCAAGACAGATTTGAATACTTCACTGTCGAAAGCTGTTGAACAGAATGCCATTCTTTCTAAGCAGTCAGAGACTGCTTGTAATGAGAGTTCCACTAAGATTGACCAAATTGCTGATCAAGTTCTTGGTGACAGTGGTGCTAAAGGGCAGACAACTGCTGAAAATAGTATGGAGGCAGCAGTAGCCTCTTCCTCTGTTTGCTCTGGCAATGGTGCTGATAGAGGTTCAGATGAGCCAAATAAAAATTTGAAGCGAAAAAGAAAAGACACCGATGATTCTGAGTGCCACAGTGAAGTGAGTTAAAGTCTTGTATTTACAGTGTTTTATGTGTTTAATTGTTTACTTTTTAATTCCCCTCAAATAATCAAGAAGACATTTTACATGAAGGATGCTGAAGAAGAATCAGCGGGTGTTAAAAAGGCATCTGGAGGGCGTGGAGGTACAGGTTCCAAGAGAACCCGTGCAGCTGAAGTGCATAACCTATCTGAAAGGGTTAGCAAGACCTATGTGTATCTGTGTAGCATTAATTGTAATATACATTTTCCCTCGAGTCTCACTTTATGGTATTTCTGATTATAATTTGTGCCTACAGAGGCGAAGGGACAGAATCAACGAGAAGATGCGTGCGTTGCAAGAACTCATTCCAAATTGCAATAAGGTTGGCTTGGCTTTATCTGTTTTTTCAGTTTTTTAGACACCTGAAAAACTTTGTAAGATCATGGAATGAGGAAGATTTATCAAATCATCAGAAGTTACAACCTAATATCCTATAAAACCAACCTGAAGTTAAGCATTTTTGTTTACAGGATTTAAATCCTCAATTTGAATATGAACTTTGATCTTTTATTTAGTATATTGGTTATAAAAGTCGGAGAAGTTCAATATAGACTACTAAATACTTTGTATACATATTCTTACATACTTGATACTCGATTCCTCATTTACTTTGGTTTTTCTGACTTCGTATCTATTATAATAGGTGGATAAAGCCTCAATGCTAGACGAGGCAATCTAGTATCTTAAAACACTTCAGCTCCAAGTTCAAGTAATGCCTTTGGTTAAATTTTTCTGATGATAAATGATATACTTGTGGTGAGAGTTTGATTCATATCTTCCTTTGCAGATTATGTCAATGGGAGCTGGTTTATATATGCCTCCAATGATGTTACCTGCAGGAATGCAGCACATGCATGCACCACATATGGCTCCATTTTCACCTATGGGTGTTGGCATGCATATGGGATATGGTATGGGTTATGGGGTGGGAATGCCCGACATGAATGGTGGATCTTCAAGATTCCCTATGATTCAGGTGCCCCAGATGCAAGGAAATCATATCCCTGTCGCCCAAATGTCTGGACCTACTGCTTTACATGAGATGGCCGGATCAAATCTTCCAAGGCTCGGGCTTCCTGGACAAGTACATCCCATGCCAATGCCTCGAGCTCCCATGCTGCCGTTTTCTGGAGGACCTGTCATGAACTCATCAGCTCTGGGACTACATGCTTGTGGATTGTCAGGACTTGTTGAAACCGTGGATACAGCTTCTGCATCTGGCTTAAAGGATCAAATGCCAAACGTTGGCCCACTAGTTAAGCAAAGCACTGGTGGCCGTGACTCAACAAGTCAGATGCCTACACAGGTATGTTTACGGACAGATTTCTAGAGCTTTTATATAAATGCATCTCATGATACAGGTTCAGCACAAAGTTTACTTCGTTGATTTAATTGTAACAGGCATGCATGAAAGTATTAGCAATACCATGACATTGTATTCAGTTATGATTGCAAATATTATTAAATCCTTCAGAAATTTCTGCCAAATCTTCTTATGCACTTGCTTCCCTGGACAGAATTAAAAAGTGAAAAGCCTATTGCACTCTATTTCTGCCCTTGTGCATTGTGTTACTAGTCATTCTAGGTCACCTGAAATCACCAAATGAATTGTTCTAGTTATTTGATTAATATTACTTTTATAAAGAAGGTGCACCGGATGTCAACTTTGACAATTATAGATTTTACCGTTTGAATGAACATTTTCAATTTTAGAAACTGAAAGAAACATGTAAAAAGGTAAAGGTTGAAATGAAAAGTAATTACGCGGTCTTCTAGAACAAGTATTAAAGCATCGCTATCCCCATGATTAATTTTCATTTCAATGAAAATATTCTGCTTCCATTCTTTTACTCATCTCTTCATGTCTGTGTTCTCCAATTTTGTTATGCTAGAGTGAAACAGCTGTTGTTGGATTTGAGCAATCTGCTATGGTTCATAACAGCGGTCATACCTCTGGGGCTAATGACAATGGAGCTCTTAATCCTTGTCCCAGCAGATAACGTTATATCTGGTAAATCTTCTGAGTATCTATCACTATGCGCATACATGTGGACAAAGGCACATACAGACTAACTGTTGAGTTGTTCTTGCAGGTTATGATCCACAATAATACCGTGCCTGATTGAAATTTTAGAAAACGTGAGTCTTAATCTCCCTGCAGATTACCCCATACAGGATACTTTAGAGTCATTGAGGTTAACCCGATCACAATAACTGCTGACTGAATCCTAATTTCCGGACTTACGAAATTGCACGGATTTTGTAATATCTTAAGAGGTGCAACTCATTTGTACATCCATTTAGCAACCTGTTCAATCAATTGGCATAGAAATTCGATATATTTTTACATATATGTATTCAAGTGTTTGATCATATCTATCATATCGATTCTTTGGTTTAATGAAATAATAGTTTTTTGCCTTTGGCATCTATTTTCTCACCCTCCTAGCCCTGCAAAATTAATGAAAATGGATACAGTAGGAGCACTAAGATGTAGATTACTGTTCTAGTGCTTCTAAGTATTTCAGCAGTTCGTAAAGATTTATTTGAAAATTTATATTTGTAGATTGGTTGGTCTCCGATCATATTCATTTGTCACCTACCATACCAGTTACCATTGATGGTGGAGAAGCATATATTTTTAATACATCATCATCGTAGTGAAGGAGAAACTGCTTATGATTGCGAAAGCACCTTGAAACAGTTTTGTAATAAACAATCAATGCTAGATCATTATGAGGTCTTTTTACAAAAACGTACAAACATGTAAACTTTACACAATAAGTTAAAATTGCTTTTCTCGTTTATCAACAGCAAATAAAAACACAATGCAAATTATCCAAAAGAATAATACAGAAAAAAACAATCAAATTTTACAGCATTGCCTAAATCACGGCCTAGATCATCTTCTATATACACTACACTCTGCACACCTTTTGGCATTCAAACAAATTCAACTGAAAATTACGATGTATAAAAACCAACTTATATGCTATAATGCTATGCACCACGATAATGAAAAATAAAGCAAATCCGTAAATGCTGCAAACTCGTTCACTCAGTTCCATTATTTGACTTTAATGTCGCCCTTGGCCTCCGAGGAAAGGTTCTTGGAGGAAGGAGATTTGCCAGTGATAGCTTTCTTTGCTTTCACCAGGGACTGTTTAACCTTTGATATAATGTTATTTGATTGCTTTTGAGCTGGCTTGGCTGGAGTTTCTTTTGGAAGGTCCTTGGATGTTTTTATTGCGTCACTTTCCTTGGTGACTTGAACCTCAGTTTTCTCAGGCTCCACAGTTTGTTCTTTCTCTAACTTTTTGACTCCAGGTTCAACATATTCCTCTTCTTTTTCTTCAAATTTGGATGCCAAGGTTTCTCTAACAGGTTCACTTACAGCTCTAGAGATTTCTTCTACCTTTGTTTCACCGTTCCCTTCCTTCTTGTCATCAACTACTGAGCTATCATCATCACCTCTTACATTCTCCACCTTCACACTCTCTGCTACTTCAGTTGTTGCTGTCTTTGCCTCATTCTGTTCCTCAACCTTTCTGCTTTCAGCCTCTTCCTCTGTTGAAGATCCAGTGACAGCTTTAGGTGCTTCAGGTTCCTTTTTTTCATCGTCATTTGCGGCAATGGCAATCTTTTCCTCCACGTCAGCTGGAACAGAATACTCCCTTTCTTCTTTTAAGCTAGGTTCAGCTCCCTGATCAACTGAGGCTGGTTCTGGACTTTTTATGATGCCAGCCACTTCATTTGGTACCCCTTCAATCACATCAGTAATGCTTGATTCTTTATTGTTGTCCTCTTCAACAATCTTTTCCGCTACTACAGAAGGTTCCACAGTGTTTGCTTGAGCTTCTTCATTTGATGAAACTTGTGCTGTACTTTCAGTGAAGCTAGTTTCCCCCTCTTTATCAGTTTTCACAACATTTGCTTGAGGTTCTTTATTGTCATCCTCTTCAACAACCTTTTCTGCTACTACATGAGAAGGTTCCACAGTATTTGCTTGAGGTTCGTCATTCGATGAAACTTGTGCTGCATTTTCAGTGTGGCTAATTTCCTCCTCTTTGTCAGTTTTCACAATATCTACTTGAGGTTCTTTGTTGTCATCCTCTTCAACAACCTTTTCGGCCACTACAGGAGAAGGCTCCACAATATTTGCTTGAGGTTCTTCATTCGATGAAACTTGTGTGGCATTTTCAGTGTGGCTAGTTTCCTCCTCCTTGTCAGTCTTCTCTTCCTTGATCGTGTCATCTGAAGTTCCTTCACTCTTGGAGATCTGAAGCACAACTTCAGGAGAAGGTTCCACAAGATTTGCTAGAGGTTCCTCATGTGATGAGACTTGTGCTGCATTTCCAGTGAGACCAGTTTCCTCCTCTTTGTCAGTTTTCTCTTCCTTGACCGTGTCATCTGAAGTTCCTTCACTCTTGGAAGTCTCAAGCACAGCTTCAGTAGAAGGTTCCACAAGATTTGATTGAGGTTCCTCATTTGCTGAAACCTGTGCAGCATTTACAGTGAGGCTAGTTTCCTCCTCTTTATCAGCTTTCTCTTCCTTGATCAGGTCAGCTAAAGTTCTTTCAGTCTTGGCAGTCTCGATCACAATTTCTTTCTTAGTTTCCACGTCCTTACAATCTTCCACAACTTCATCATCTACTTGTAGTTGTTCACTTGGCTTTTCCTCCACTTCAATTAACAGAGGTTCTGGTTTTTCTATCTTTTCAGAAATTGTGTCTGACTCTGAGTTGCCTGTGTCTTCCACCTTCTCAGTACTGCCTTGTTGCTCCACCTTTTCAGCTTCTGCTTCGAGAACAACTGTCTTAGACTTCTCTTCTTCCTCTAGCTTTTCTGGTTCAGTTTGACTTTCATCAACTTTAACACCCACTGGCTCTGCTTTCTCTGTTTCAAAGTTGTTAGTCTCTTTCAACACCTCTGCCTCAAAATCTAGTTCTCTTGTTTTTTCCTCTATGGCATCACTTCTTTCTGCTGATTGCTCAGGAATTGCAGATGTGTCTGGTTTCTCCTCTTCCCTTTGTTCCAATGGTTGCTTCTCTGGTTCTTCCTGGTTTTCATTCACTTTAGTAACCAAAGGTTCTGCATCCACTGTTTCCGTGGGTCCCGTTTCAAAGTTAGCGGTCTCTTCCACTACATCTTCTGAGGGTTCTGTTGCTTTTTCCTCTACGGCATCAGCCGCCTGTTCAGGTACTGCAATTGTGCTTGGTTGCTCAGCCTCTTGCAATTCTTTTTCTGCCTCTTCTATTTTTTCTTCCACTTGTGTAGCAACAGGCTCAAGCTTGTCTTCCACTCCGGCCCCTGTTTCCAAAACTTGAGCCTCTTTCACCACCTCTCCTTCTGATTCTGTCGGAGGATCAGTCTCATCTGTGTTGCTTGTTTTGTCAATAGTTTCAGTTGATGCTTCTGGAATGTCTTCTGTCTTGGGTTGCGATTGTTTCTCCTTATCTGTTTCCACAGCTTCATTTTCTAGTTTCTGTGGTGGTGTTTCTTCCACACTGAGTTCTGTGGATGCTGCCACATCTGGCTGGGAATTGGCTGCATCATGAACTGGTTCAATATCACTGATAGTGTGCGAGGCCGGAACCACTTCCTTCTCCTCCTTTAGTTTATCTTCGGCTGCAATTGTTGCTTCTGGTGGCAGTGAATATTCAGTGTTTTGTACTGCAATAGCAGGCTCAACCTTGTGATCAACTTCTTCTGTTGGAGTTGGTGTTGAACTTTGTGCATCCTCAACCTTGTGATGGTCCAGAGTATCTTCAGCAGATTGTTCTTCCTCAACTGCAGCAAGCTCTGCCGTCACCTTATCTTCTGTCTTATTTGAAGAGGTGTCCTCAGATTTGTCGTCTCCGTCAGGCTTGTCATGCTTGACTTCATCTTCATTGGCTAAAGAAGCGATCATTTGTGCAATGCCTTCGTCTTTTTCCTTCTTCACGTATTGCTATATAATAAAGATGAAAAGGCATTGATGATTAACAAACCATGAATGTAAGTACAAATAACAAAGTATGAACAAGTAAGAAGGCGTGCCACAGAAATCACAGCTTTTTCCATCAACTCCAATCAACAACATACTTTGATTTAGTAGTAGTTCCTCAGATACCAAACTCAAAGATATAGGCACTACCTTGATTTGCACTAAATGCACATCTACACAGGACACAACTTTTTCTGACATGCAATGGCAACAATGGCGGTACCTTGATCTGCCATTTCCTTATGGAAAGGTATCTACTTATCTTGCATAACAATCTACTACAGGCAATGATGGAAAAAGTGGGGAGGCACGTTGCAAAAGTTTTTTAGCAATACACAATTTTATTTGGTTTTTGTCTTGACCACCTTTCTTTCTTTTCTATAAAAGATGTTGGATTGACAGTTTTTTATGTACAAAATAACCTTGAATAGTTTCCACATTTATTTAAACAATACCATAACTTTAGGCTTTATATATTATCAAAATTTTCTTATTATTTACAATGTGCAACATTAACTTTATTATTACATGTGAGACATATTACTAAAGAAATATTATTCTCAAAACTTTACGACATTTTCTCAAACTTCCATTGGTTTAATAATATGAAAATTCTAAAACTTTTATATATAAGAAAATCTTTTACCAGAACTATAAATTTAGTTTAGGCAAACACATTAAGCAGAAACATAATTATTTTTTTAATTATATATTTTTTGGCCTCACTAATTTTCTAGATCCGGCTTTGGTAGATTACAGGTGTATTTTCTAGAAAAGATGTTGATCAAATTCATTTCCGTTTTCATTTTTACAAAATTTATGGTATGCACCTTCACCAGCCACTTCAATATTTTTTTATATATATAAAAATACATGAATAATTTTATAGAACACAAAAAATCTTCTTTGAAAGCTATTATGCAAATCCTTAATAATGAATTACGATTGGAGATGAAAAAAGAGTTTGAACAAAGAAGTCTCAAAGCAGAACAAACTTTTTGACTCATCACTATGTTTTTTTATCAGCAAACAAATCACAAAATTTGCAGACAGTTTAGCAACTGAGTAAAGATATGAAAGCTAGACTCTGAGAAAGAATCATAAAAGAACTTAGAATTGAGGACAGATGCTACAGAAAGAAGTTGAAGATCATGATGATGTATTTGAAAAGTGAGAAAATAAAAATGAACAGACCTGATCAGTAGCAGAAGCATGATCAGATGCAGCAGTCTGAGTAGCCATGATCAC